AAATCTTTACACAAAATTTGCCAATTTGTTGTTAGGGCGGCGAGTTGGGTGGGTGGGTGACACGCCCCTTTGTCGCATTACACACATCATCATGCCAAGCGATACGCCCATATTGCCACGACGATATCCTTGATGCCATTGTCAATACTTGAGCCTTTTTACAGCTCATTCTCAGCGTTTGTTTGCCTCAATTCTCGATTTGCTTTCATTCCCCGCCCACACTTACAGCATTTCTCTTTCTCTGTTTCTCTCAAGTGCTTTGCTCGAGTGAGATTAGCCAGATTTTGCAGCTAATGTTGCTGCTTGGCTGTGAGCTTTATTGCACTGCGCAAAGACTTTCCCTAGTCCAACTCAAGAAGCGAACTGTCTCTCTGGCAATCGTTTCGTCTTCTTCATTGTGAAATTTAATTAAAAAAGAGACAAGAAAAAATGAATTTAAATGCAGCCCAAATAAGTAGGCAACACATTTTTATTATTTGCCTCGCTTTGTACTAACTTTTCTATTTATGGTAATTTCTTAATTTTCATACAGCCCCCAGGCCGCCGGGCGCCTCACGTGTCGTCTCGCTCGACAATGTAAAAATTAGGCTAATGCGGGATTTTGTCGGCTGGCAAAAGGAATAGGTAAAGGTTGCCATGGTGTAAGGCGGGGCACAATCATTTGCACCTTTAAAAAGGCATTAAAATGCGACTAGAACTGCCGAGGAGCAATCAACGCTACACAGAGCAACTCCTGTGAGCCCAAAGCAAATTAGAGCACGCACGAATGCATTGGCCACAAAAATGATTTGAGCCACAAGCGGCAGGTGGGTGCAGCTGTAGCTGGCACGCACGTCAACGCAAATGAAACTTTTTCTGCTGGGCTTGTCCAAGGCGGCATAATAATAATTGAGTAGCTGGCAAGCAGGCAAGGAAAGTGGCCTGCAAAGTTTTCTGGTCGTGTGGACGGCTGCTGCTAGAAATGCAAAATAAGAGCCTACTGGCTGAGTACTGCCAAGCCATTACGGACAGACGCACAGACAGGGAGACACACACACACGACCTACGGGGCGTATACGCAATTTAAGCCGCTTAAAGCCAGCTGGCCTGAGCAGCTGCAGTAGCAGTTGTCGCAGAAATATGAACCGAAACGAAACGAAACGAAACGTTACGAAATCTGTCGCTCGAGTTGAGTTTTGGGACTTGGCAACGCCAGCCGCTCGCTAAGCTGTACGCACATGAAATATCTAGCAGATGTAAGGCGACGACAGCGCGTTCACAGCAAAAAAGTCCTTAAGCACGCAAAAAACATTTCACACGCCCGTCTAGCCGTCGGCTTCAGCGTCAGCGTCAGCGTCAGCTTCGGCCTGAACCAGCACTTAAGAGCGTCGATGTCATGATGGCGATGATGCTGCTGATGCTGCTGATGCTGCTGATGATGATGCTCGGGTCGGCCAAGGAGTCAAGTGTCGGCCGAGCAGCACGCGTTGCTCAAAGTAACTCAAGTAGTGCAAATACCGCGACCAAACCGAGCTCGGCTGTCGCACAAGTAAAAGGAAAAGCCAAAAAGTGTTGTAGCAGCTCCGCCGCAGCACATAGACATGAAGTTAAGTGGCGTAAAGCGTGTACTTAATCGCTTAAAGCATTACAATTTGAAATTGAATATCATAAAGGATATTCAAACAGCGCGCAAAATGTAGAAAATAAAAAAAAAAAACTGAATAAAACTAAAAAAACTAAGGGAAACCCAGCAAATAGTTGTAAAATGTTTAAGCGAAAGCGAAGAAAAACCCATTTTCCATTTGCCATATCGAGTTGAAGCGCTGGGCTGGGCTGGGCTGGCCCGGCTACACATCATCGTGGCCAACACTCTCGGCTTTTGTTTGAAATAGTTGAACGTCTATCGAGTCTGAAGCAGTCTCCGCTAACAAAATGTAAACGCTTTAAGTGGAATGCAAGTTATTCAAGTTATGCAAATTAAGCTTGGCTCGAAAGGCACAACATCCACAAATGTTGTAATTCCAGCAAATGGCACTTAATTGAATAGGATATGTTCGGGGCTTAGGACTTCTAACATATGTCTTACTGATGCAAATACTTTATGGAAAATTCTTTAATTATAATCAAATAATTTCATACATTTAAATTTTTAGCTTTTTATTTTTATTTTATTTATTCTATTATTATTATTTAATTTTTCTTTTTAATTTCTATATTTTAGATAATTAATAATTTTCAAATTTGTATATATTTGTTTTTATCAAATTTTTAATTAATAATTAAATTATTCTTTTTTATATTTTATTTATTATTTATTTTATTTTTACATATTTTATTTATATTTTTAAATTTATTTTTATATATTTATATAATTTGATCTTACATAAATTTATTTATTCATTTAAAATTTCTTCAGTAATTATTATCTATTTACCATTTTTTTAATACTATTACATACAAAATAAATTTCATTTATATAATATATTTTTAAATATTTTTTTCAGGTATTTTGTTTTAACTGAATAATAATATTTTTGTTTTCTAAAATAGTTGAAATATTTACATATATTTTTTATTACTATCCATGCTCACAAAAAATTAAATAATTATACGAATTAAGTTTTAAAATGAACAATATTAAACTGGAAGATAAAACAAAAATATAGCTATCAAATATGTTTAAATTGTAATTAAATAAACATAAACATGTTAAAAAACATGTTTCACTAACCTTTTGAATACAAATATATAAATTTGAGTTACTAATTATGAATTTTAGAGACATTTTGAACTCATATATGATAATATATAAACAGCTACAAACAGCAAATTTGAATTCTAATTAAATCGCTCTCAGCTCCTTTTTCTGTGATTATTTTAATTTATTGATACATATATTTAGATACTCATATTAATATATTTGAATTCTAGTTCATAAAAACATTGAAATGTATTTAATTTAATATTTTATAATATATAAATTTCTGTAAATATATATATATATATATTTAATAAAGCATAAACTTTCGTTTTATTTAAACTTTCAACATTTATATATAAATATAAACTTTATATAAATACCTCTGAGAACAAAACCATTTTCATTCTAATTAAATCGCTTTCATAGAAACTTTCACCTGCATTTTAGCCAAGTTTTTCTAATATATATATATACATAAATAAACATTAAGTGCAACAACAAAAATACAGTTAGACAAACAAAATTAATAAAAGCAATAATTTTGCATTGGCATTAAAATAAATTTCGAGTTTGGCCCAAATAAAATTCTGCTCCATATTTGAGGTTTTTTCTGTGTTTTGTTCGGAAACTAAAAACAGTTGAAATTTATTTGCCACATTTATAAAGTTATAAATTGCAATTTGTTGGCTATTTGTTCAACAATTAAAACTGAGCTTAGTTGGCAGTGTGTGGTCAGTGGTTCGTAGGAAGGCGATGAAGCAGGAGAAATTAAAAACCTTTTGTTGCTTTTTAGAGCGCACTTCAAAATGCTGCCCCAATGGCATTAAAAATGGATGACATTTTGACAATTGATGGCCGTGCGCCGTGCCAAGGAATCGATAACATAAAATATGCATTACCCAGTGTACATCAGAGCAAGCAGACTGAAAGAATGGAGCTGGGGCCGAAAAAGGGAGTTCAGCCGGGCGCATGGACGTTGTGGAGGCAGGGACGTAGGGAAGGGGGTCTGCGATTTGAATGGAATGGTCCGATATGCGTTGCTGGGAGAGCTGCCAATTTGCAATTTGCTTTTATCATCATAATTTGATTTGAATCGTATTTGCGCTCAAATTCTGCAAACCCCATCAAAAGTTCACAATGGAATGTTGCGCAAATTAGCAGAGAAATCAATTATTTATTATGTCATTATTTGATGTACCTAATTGAAATCCAATATCGAAATCTTATTCCAAGCACAGAGCTCAAACATAACTGTTCTGTTCACAGAGAGCAGATTTCTCTCTGGCTTCAATGTACATTGAATTTGCTTAGTTTGAGTTGCAATTTTATATAATTTTATGCTTGTTTCATTGGCCAAAGCAATGTCAAAGGTTAATGCAGCTTAGGAATGAAGCAAAGGACTCTAGTTTGCCAGCTCTAGTTTGATATAAAAAGGGTGAGTCTGCAACCAGGATAGGGTTATTAGTCTTTATTTAAAGTGTTATCACTTGTTCTTAAAGACGACTAAGGCAACTTTTTTTTCTTCAAGAATTTAGTCCAGGTAATAATAGTAATTATAATAGTAATAATATTAATAATAATAGTAATATTAATAGTAATAATAATAATAATAGTAATAATAATAGTAATAATAATAGTAATAATAATAGTAATAACAATAGCAATAATAGTAATAATAATACTAAGCTTCAAAAACTCTTCACCTCAGAATTTTGAAAACTTTTGATATACCTTTTACAATATTGTTTGTTGAAAGAGACTCAACAAAAAAGACACATTTGTTAGAGTAAGAGAAGACTTACAAAAAATTAAATAAGAACCTAATCAAAATCCTATAAATAAACAAAAAAATAATAATAAATATTTCCAAATTTTTAAGGTATTTATTTGCATCAGTGGAAATTTATATTTTATATTTTTTTATAAATTATACTAAAGTAATATTTATTTAATTTTGTTTTTTTCATATATAATTATGTTTATATATATTAGTTTATTTCTTTTTATATTTTTAATTTATATTTTATATTTATTTATATTTATTTTCAAATTTATTTATAAATTTATTTAATCATTTTTAAACAATTTTATTTTTTTAATTTTTAATGTGTATGAATATAATTTAATTTTTATTTTTTATGAAATTTATAGTTTTGACAAGATTATATTAATTATAAAATATATATTTTATATTAAATTGTATTATATTGTATATTATATTCTTATATTCTTATATATTATATTCTTATTTTAAGCGCCCTAAAAGTCGACTCTCGATTTGAGCATAGCTAGAAAAAACAGTTGAAGTTAAACAACATTTGCATCAAGTACACATTGAACTGAAGACTGAACAACACAAATTTTGTGGAACGTAAAACTGTATAAAATTCAAAAGGCAATTTCAAAATGTTAATTTTAATAGGCATTTTAGTGTCATTGCAAACGGTTCGCGGTTTCCTGGTCACAGTCGATGCCCATGATACGCTTTGTTTCTTTGATCGCGCACAGGAGCGGGACCGGATCACGATCAGCTTTGAGGTGATGGAGGGCGGCTTCAAGGACATTGCCGTCGACATTTCAGCAGCCGATGCTGAGAAGCTCTACCACTCCGAGGCCGAGACGAGTGGCAAGTATACATTTGCGGCTAACAAGGATGGCCAATACACACTGTGCTTCGACAACTCGAAGTCAACGCTGACTCCGAAGGTCTTGATGTTTCACTTCATCGTGGTCAAAGACCACGGCTACTACACTGACCCACATAAGCGCGCCGACGACGTTATCGAGCAGGCGGCGCTGCAGGAGAACATCAACGAGCTGTCCAGCCAAATGATTGCCATGAAGCACGAGCAGGAGTACATGCATGTGCGCTACAAGGGACACCTGGAGATCAGCGACAGCGTGCACTTCCGCCTGGTGGCCTGGTCTGTCTTCGGGCCCTCGCTGCTGCTGACCCTCACCATCGTCGAGATTTACTATCTGAAGCGCTTCTTTGAGGTGAAGCGCGTGGTTTAAATATGATTGTGGTTTTTGTTTTTGTAATAAATAATCAGAGAATATGTCATTAAGGAAGGAAGGAAGGATGAATAGAGATGGGAGATATATACTAAAGGGCAGCGAGAGAGCAAAAGAGAGCGAGAGAGGTATAGAAATGTAGGCATAGAGGAAAACACGAAACAAGGGCGAGAAAGAGGTGGAGTCATGGAGAGAGATGGTGAGATAACCAGGGAGAGAGAGAGAGAGATGAAGGTAGAGATAGCAAGCGAGAGACAGAGATGGAGTGTGCGAGAGGTAGAGATATGGAGAGAGATGGTAGCCAGAGAGAGATAAAAATAGAAATATCAAGTGAGAGAAGGTCTAAGAGAGACAGTGAGAAGCTAGAAAAGAAAGACAAAAGCATAGACACAGAAAGCGGGAGACAGAGGTAGAGACATAGAGAGAAGACAGATAGAGAAAATAGAGAGAGAAAAATGTAAACTTAAATCTAGGAACAGACCATGCCAAAGATCTAGTAATAGAAAGAGACAAAGACTACAAGTGAGAGAAAACGAAAGAGAGAGGGAGAGAGAGAGAAAGAGACAGAGAAAGAGAGAGAAAGAGAGAGAGAGAGAAAGAGACAGAGAGAGAAAGAGACAGAGACAGAGACAGAGACAGAGACAGAGACAGAGACAGAGACAGAGACAGAGACAGAGACAGAGACAGAGACAGAGACAGAGACAGAGAGAAAGGGAGAGAAAGAGAGATAAGAAGACAGAGAGATATAAAGAAACAGAAAAATATAAGAGACAAAGAGACAGAAAGAGATAGAGATAGAGACAGACGTAGTGTCTGCCACGCCACCTTCTGCCACGCCTCCCTCAACATTTTCACACAACCATTAAACCCCGTTTCCAACGGAAATAAAAAGTTCTTTGATTAATCACACTTCTTATCAGACATTGGCCAGGCTCTCGCAGCACTTTATTAGTCCTGCAGCCAGGCAATAGAAACTGAGATTTAACACAAGTCAATTGACTTGGGCCATATGAAACGTATCATTGAATCCCATAAATATATATATATATATATATATACATATGATAAAGTCTTCCGCTTTGGTTCTGTGCTCATCTTTCAGCCACAATTTGTTGCACATTTCATGCTTCACAAGTCATAAAACTTTCAAGCAATACACACACACACACACACAGTGGCACACTCGCTGGCAGTCATGCATATGAGAAATGGCATAAAGTATCTACAACTTGGCGCTCAAGTATCCATAAAGTTCGCTTCACCTATAAACTGTGCCCACATTGGATTAGCACAAATTTATGGCAGCTCCCAGCAGCCGCCAACCCCCTCCCACTCCTCCTTTGTCCAGTCACTCCCCTCAACAAATAACAATGCGTGAAGCAACAACAAACTTATCATATTCATTCACAAGTTTCTTTCTTTTTGTTTTTTTTTTTTATGCCAGCTTTGTCTCTGACACCAGATAACTAACAGGGATATGTTTATAGTAGCTGGGAAATGCTGGAAAACGCATGGATAGAAAAGTTGTTGTCTCTTATTTACGGCAATGTCGCGTCAAGTTTTTTGTTTTGCCAAAAAAATATAAAGATATATAAAGCGAGTAAGTTTTTTGGGAAGTTTCTTTCTTTTGGTCTCACTCTCTCTCTCGCTGCCCCTTTTGTTGCATAATAAAATGAAGCATGTTGTTGGATTGGATTGGCAGCACTCGAGTCAACTCGAGTCGAGTCGCGGCATCTGGGCATCCGGTCATGGAGTCAACTTCAAAGATGAGCAGCTCAGCTAAGCTAAGCAAACAGAGACAAAAAAGGTCACGAATACTGCTCCCCAGCGTGAAATGAAAGCAAAAGTTCATCGTGATCCAAGCTGCGGCGACAGCTGTGCGACGGCTTGGCTAACAAGTCGCCGGCTCTAGAAAGCTGTGAGCCATGCGTAAAGAGGCGCGACAGCAGCCGGATGAAGATGCTGAAGCAGAAGAAGACCTATAGATAAAAACTAGGACAGAGAGGGGAACAACGAGAGAGAGAGAGAGAGGGATGAAGAGGTGAAGAGCTGGAGGGCGAGAGGCGGAAATGTGGGAAAGTAGAGACTGATGAAGAGAGAGAAAGACAGAAAGCCAGAGACATATGTAGAGTGGAGGAGAGAGAGAGAAACAGAGATAAGGGAGAGAGAGAGAGGGAGAAAGAGAGAGAGAAAGAGAAGAGATGTACCGAGATATAAAGATATAGAGCGTGAGAGAATTAGACTGAGAAAGATATATACAGAGAGACAGCGAGAGAGAAAGAAGGAGAGAACAAAATGAGTCAAACAGGGGGAAGAGAAAGAGATTGGCTTGTAGATAGGTAGACAGAGTGGGAGAGATAGAGATAGGTAGAGAGAGAAAGTTAATCATTTATGATTTGAGAGAAAGATGAGGTATAGAGAGGCAGATGCAAAGAGAGAGAGAGAGAGAGAAAGAAATAAAAGACCGCATACAGAGAGAAAGATAGATGAACCGATGCATAAAGAGAGAGAAAGAGAGAGAGAGAGAGAGAGATAGAACATTCTGTCAGTAAGTTCCACATATAGACCCTTTCGAGCTAACAACATCTAATCTCAGGGTGAATAGAGGAATTATTACAGTCTATAGAAAGACAACTAGGCACAGTCTTGAAATTTGTATTTAGTAAAATTTCAATACTAGTTTTATTTTTTATTAAATAAATAATCTATAATAAAATAGAAAATTAAATGCAATTTAAATACAAATCAATAGAAAATTTCAAGCTAAAAAATAAAGATATATATATATATATATATATATATATACATATATATATATATATATGTATATATATTTATATATATGTATATTTTTATATATATAGTTTGTACATAGTTCTCGTTGAATAAAAACTAACTTAGATATATTAAGCTTATATAAATAAAATAAACTAGCTGCAACTCGAGTGATTAAAAGCTTCAAGTCTCCACAAACTATCTCAGGCTGTATTTATAGATAATTCACAGTTGAGTGTTTTGCATTGAGCAAATAGTAACGAGTCCTTTAGGCTTTAATCTCTTTTAAAAGCTGTTCATCATTGTGATTAGCTGGAGCTGCACACTCAGCTAGCCTGGCCTTAAGTATGTTTTGCATACTTCAACGATGTTTAACTAATTGCGTTGCTTGCATTGGCTGTAAACAAGATTTGCTGCTGCTGCTGCAATTCAATTTTCTATTATGTCAGCGAGTTGGAAGCAATGCAATGTTAATAAAATACCCACTCCTGCCTTTCCCGCTCCTGCTTGGCCATAGTTAATATCAAAGGCAAGCTCCAAGATGTCAGCCGCAGCTCGGGCAGGGGCCACAGCGCGTATACGCAACGTGCTTCGCCTTTTGTGCTGACGTCTTTTTGCCTATTTACCTTTTACACACACACACAGCACACAACAATGGCCAATATATCCAAACATGTGTGTGTGTGCGAGCGACATTGGGAGCCACTGTTATTTGACATTTATTTGCCATTTCCCCCAACCACAATGGCGTTTGCCGCCAGCCAGCGACGCGAATAAAAACAGCAGCAACAACAACGGCAAGAATAAGAAGAAGAACAACAAATTGATGAAGAAGAAGAAGTAGTGCTTACCTCGCTTCTGTGGCATGGTTGAGGGCGACGGCGTCGACTGTGTCGCCGCCAACAGCTGCAGCAGCAGCAACAGCCCAAAGAGCAGCCCGAAACCAGGCACAGCTGCTCCTCTATTGTTCTGGCTCATCGCTGGCCGGGCGACTGTTGATCCTTTGGCTGCGCGACGCTTCCAACTCATGCGATGCCAACCGCGATTCGCTTGTTGATTCTGTTTCTGCAGCTGATTTTGATACAAAGCGCATTTGCCCTCGCTCATTTCGCACTGGCTCAACAAACACTTTTATCACTTGTTTCACTCTTTTTTTTTAATAATATTTTCAATATATATATATATTTTGAACACTTTCACACACTCTCTCTCGCTCTCTCTAGCTGTTTCGCTGTTTTATTGTTTCATTTTTAATTGCTAAAAAATGGGAATTTTGTAATAAATATGAAATATGAAATATGAAATATGAAATATGCAAATAGCTGATTCAATAATCCGCCCACTTTATTTGTTATGCAATATTTGTTATTAATTTAACAGCAATTAATAATATAAATGGCATCGCTATGCACAGTTATTAACAATATAAATTGATGTAAAATTTCTATAAAAAACTTTATTTATATTAAATTCTTGCAAATGGATTTATTACGCGCACAATTGAGTCAACGCGCTGTCACTGCAGATTGGCTGATTTGCTATAGGTCGTAGAGCCTAGTTGCCAATGCTCTGCAAATAAGTTTTTATTTACTATTTAATCAGAATATATAAAAGCCTTGAAGCATAAGTTTTCTACAATTGACTTTTAAGACAAAATAAAAATATGGCAGTTAAAAAAAACCTGACTACCTAATGCCCGTCCTGGCTGGAAAGCCAAAGCAATTTAAGAAAAGTTAAAATCAAAAGCAAAGCAAATTTAATAAATTGCATCGATTTCATTGAAACTGTCAAATGAGAGTCCAAAAGTTTTCCTAAGCTTTTCCAATTTGTTTAGATTTTTTAAAGAAAATGTAGCTCAACTCTTGCCTCTATTCAAAATATCTTAACACAAGACACTTCAATGTCTTAAAATATTTTCCTGCATCTGCAGAGGATTTCAGTGATGCACACTTATCAAACACATTTGCCTTTTTAAGCTCAGTGTCGAACACCAATTTCAGTTGACTTTAAAACCGGAATATCTCAGATTTCATTACTGCCATTTCCTAAAACCAATATACTCTCTATTCCTATCCTGGACGAGCATAAAAATTCATTTTCCGCTGGCTAAATGACTTCTGTTAAAGGAATCTAACGCTAAAGCTGCGTAGCTTTTCATGATTTTTTGGCGCTGCACGTGCCACATTTCATGAAGCACGTTTCGCGTTCCACGTTTCACTACTCGCGTTGCACGTCTAACGTTCCACATTCCAAGCGCACCTATTTAGTG